TGCGCAAAAAGTCATTTTTCATCCATTTTCTTAATTAAAAGTTGCTAAATGACGAATATTCCCTTATGTTTAAATAAAACAAAAAGAAAAGGAAAAGAACTATAAAGAACAAATTGTAACTACAGGCCCAAATGTTTTAAAAAGTGCAAATAACCTACAAAACTTCTACCTTCTTCTCAAAACTCAACCCGTCCCACCACCACCTGCCCGCCATTTTCAATTCTTCAACTTCAATTCACCATTTTTCTATCACCGTTCAATTCTTTCCCTATAAAACCAAACCCATAAAGACTCCAAACCTCAAATCCCATTACAATCTAAATTCCCCACCTTTTCCCCACTCTTTAGTTACTAGTATTCTGTGTTTCGGCTCTATTTGACAGTGTCGAAATCACCCAAGAAGATAATCAAGAAACAGTACCAGAACCAGCAACAGAACAAAAAGTTGTTAAAGAGGTTGAAGACAATGGACTGGAATTTTTGTTGATAGAGCAGCCCCAATTTCCCAACCCCTTCAATTTTCTCCCTGAATTGCCTTTCCGAAATGGTCACATCCTTCAACCTCTTCACAGCAACCACAGTTCCCACTTCCAAAACTGCCTTATACGTCGTCCCAAACGTACCCTTCCCCAGAACCTCAGCGGATGCCCGCAACAGTTCCTCCAAGTTAAAAACCTATAAAGCGTTCGCCAAAAAGGCTAATTTCTTGGTTTCCTCATTTACGCCACCACCAATTTTCCCCTTTGCATTCCCATTTGAAGTCAATGCAGCTGCTTCTGCCACTGAAAATTCATTAATCGTTCCACCATTCTCCGGCTCCACAACCTACCCATATATATAAACAAGAATGCCCCAGCCTCAAAAATTTAAAAAATCAAAACACAAAATTTATCTAACACAGGAAACTGAAAAAATATATATATATACAAGATGCCAAAACGCATAAACTGAAAAGAAATAAACCCCAAACCAAACAAAGCATAAAAACTTACATCCATCTTTAAGATTCTCTTCTCGGAACTGTTTAGGGATGTGGTCCAGTGAAAGAAGGTAGCTTCTAGAGGAGGGAGGTCACCGCCGGGGACAGGAATATCATCAAGAGATGGGTTTCTTTCCTTGTTACGGGTGAAGCCAATGGAAGAAGGAAAAAAGGAAGAAAAAAATGGGTTTCTTTCCTAATTTTTAATAAAATAAGGGTTTGTGATGGTGTGTGAGATTAAATTAGTGTTTTGGACTGATTTGTATTTTATTTGGTTATTTTTAATATTTTTATAAGTTTTGGATTGATTTGCCTTTTTAAAAACGTCTAGGAGTAAGAGTACAATTTGTTTTTTTTTTTTCTTTTCTTTNGTGTGAAATTAATTTAGTGTTTTGGACTTATTTGTATTTTATTTGGTTATTTTTGATATTTTTATAAGTTTTGGATTGATTGGCCTTTTTAAAAAAGTCTAGGAGTAAGATTACAATTTGTTTTTTATTTTTCTTTTCTTTTTATTTTTGTTTTATTTAAATTTGAGGGTATATCAGTCATTTTACGTTAAAAATTAGGGAAAATGATGTTTTGCGCAAAAAAATGAAAGGTATGGACGTTTTGTGTCAAGAAACGAAAGGTAGTGACGTTTTCCACAAAGACAGGCAAAGGTAGGGACGTATTGCGCCAATTACCATTTTTATAATTTTAATTATACAATAATATGGGATAAATCGGAACAAACCGCGACCCGTGACCTACATGGCCTCGACCCACATGGGTCAGCGGGCGGGCCTGGTTTGTAATCCAAAATTTTTGGGTCAACCCGAAACCGGCCCAGAACCAGTAACGAGCGGACTTTTTTTCACGCGGACCGTTACCGGGCTCATATGTTGGCGGGCCGACCCGGCATGGACCATTCGGATTGACACCTCTAGTAGGCAGTGCATAGTGGTGTCAACCGAGCCGAGCGACTGGTCGGCTCGGCCGCTCAGCTCGTACTGTTCACGTCCACGAGCCGCTTGGGCTCGTTAAAAAGCGAGCACGAGCACAAGCCGAGCGGGCGGCTCGCTAGACGAGCCTACCCCGCTTGGCTCATCACTATTCACGAGCGACGAGGCAAACGGCTCGCCGAGCCGCTCGTGAACGAGCCCACGAGCCGCTCGGTTCGTGGGCTCGTATATTATAAAAAAATAAAAAATTAAGACACGTGACCGGAACGGTCACTGAATTTCACCGTTTGGTCACCAATGTTTTTAAAAAAAAAAACATTCTACTTTTCTAGTTTTCTTCTCCTA